AAAAATGTGTTTTAAAAAAATAATAATAGTCCTACACTGGCCAATGAAGCTCAGTAGTTGGAGCATTGGTCTGTGCACCAAAGGGTCTCAGGTTCAATTCCCTGTCAAGGGAATGTACTTGGGTTGCAGGTTTGAGCCTCAGCCTGGTCAGGACATGTGCGGGACCTTGGGGTAGGACTGACAAAAAAATAAATAATAAGCGAATAATAGTCTCACTTTATAGGCAAAGTGGAAATACATGAGCTCCAAATTGAGTTGTGCACTGTTAACACTACTGTCACATGGAAGTGTCTCTGATACCTGGTAGAATTATCTGCGGCCATGTCAGTATTATGTAAGTGAGACTATTCTTTATCTCAGAAATTCTTGAGGCATACTAGTACAGCTATTGATGTGCTATTTATTTTTTAACATTCACTACTATTATCATTTTAAATATTTTTATATCTGATAATGATGTTATCAGAGTGCTAAGGAGTATGATTACCTTTGTGCTAAAAAACAAGAAATAGAATGGGACAAAATTTAGATGCAAGTAAACAATACTAAAAATGTCTAAGTACCACCATGATGGCCTGTGTCGAGAGAGCACACTGCAAATAGTAATAATGCTAAGAAAGATGAAGAAAGAATCTACTTTGGTCATTGTAGATTTACATACTTTTATACATATTCCCAAGGAATTAGTATAAATTTACCTCCTCACATACTTTTATACTTATTCCCAAGAAACAGTTAATCTTGACCTAGGTGAGCTCTTCAGAAATGCATTCTTCCTGTCAAATGTGACTGCATTTGCATTAATTACAGGGGGGATGATGAGGCTTCAAACAAGCCATATTCTCTCAGCCTCCCTGCCTCCTGGCTTTCGCTCACAGTCTTCTCTCTTTGTGGAATGCTCTCCCCTGGCCTTGAAAATGCCTACCTCTCTTCCAAGGCAGCACAATCATCTTTTCCTCTAAGAAGCCTTCTTTAACCACCAAACAGAGAAGATCTCTTGTAAATCCAGTTATTATTATACAACACTTATACTATTTTGTCATTTTATACATTTGTCTTTCCCACTAGATTCTGAGTAATCAAAGGGTAGGAATAAAGTTTCCTGCGTGTGTGTGTGTCAGGTTCCTAGCCCCATGCCTAACTCATGGTGGATATTCAACAATTAATAGATGAATGAATTCAAAAATTGTGTGGTAGTAGTAGTATTTTTTGAAGTAATTGTGTTCTTCTCTAAATCCATTTACTCACTGACTAACCAAAAACTGTAGCAAACACTAGTAATTTCACCCAATTCCTACACATACTACTTATTACTTTTCGGGTGAATTACTTTCATAAAATATGTGTGCAATACATAATATTAAAACTTGTATAGAAGACTACCCTAGCCATTATCATATATATATGATTATGTCTAATATGGCTATTATGCAAAGTGTCCCCTCAGGAATTCGACTGGGAAACCGGGAGTTTAATCGCAGGCAGCTAGGGAAGAAAGGCCCCAGCTGGCAGCCAGAAGCCAGAAAGGAGGCCCTGGCCAGTATCTGGAAGGCCCCAATTGGCCCTGATTGCACAAATTTTGTGCACCAGGCCTCTAGTCTATATATATATAAAATCTCTGAATGCATAATAATCTGGCCACTCAGTATATATATTAGAGGCCCAGTGCATGAATTCATGCATGGGTGGGGTCTGGCCAGCCTGGCCAGGGGGAGAGGATATGGGCAGTTGGCCAGCCTGCCTGCTAGTCAAACTCCTGGTAGAGGGGACAATTTGCATACTGGTCTTTTATTATATAGGATATACAATGAGTGGCCAGATTACTATGATCTCTGAACGCATAATAATCTGGCCACCAGTGTATATAATATATATATATCTACAATTTAATAACTATCCACACAATTTACTAACTATCCACACTTGTATGTGTATAAGGAACTGCACCTAGATAAACCTGTTAAAAAGTCACCAAGTAGTTGGTGTTATCTTAATTTGGATTAAGTTTTTGCAACTGAGTTTTAATTTTCTGATTCCTCTACTATGTATGTTTAGCCTTAGTAGACTATGCTAGAAAAAAATCGAGTCAGTTCTCTACCTATGAGCATATATTTATAAACACTCCTATATATACCAACAACAATTGTGACTCAACTACCTTCTTTGGAACCCCAACCAAAACTGCTCTCAGGGACCCAACATATTCCTAAACTCTAAAATAAAGCTTTTTAATCATTTCTGTGGCAAAGATCTCCATGGGCAATCTGGATAAAGTCTCTGGACCTCTTCTCAGGTAATTTTTTACCTGCATGCAATTAAATACTTGGGATTTCCCTTGCCCATTTGGCTCAGTGGATAGAGCGTTGGCATGCGAACTGAAAGGTCCTGGGTTTGATTTTGGTCAAGGGAATATACCCGGATTGCGGGCTCAATTTCCAGTAAGAGAAGTGCAGGAGGCAGCCAATCAATGATTCTCTCTCATTATTGACGTTTCTATTTCTCTCTTCCTTTTCTCTGAAATCAATAAAAATATATTAAATAATTAATTAAATAAATACATATATACATACATACTTGGGATTATAAAGAAAACTCATTATATTAAAATAGTGTCCACATTTTTAAACAAATTTTAATATAGTACATATGTGCTTCTTTATTAGCACATTAAATAATATGATCTGCTAGTAGGACTAGTAACTTCCATATATTTTAAAGTAGTAAGAAGTTTAAACAATATATTTCAAGATCTCTGCAACAATTATAACACAATAACAAATCTGTATTTTTGTCAGTGACATTTCTACTAATAATTCTGTGATTTGTTTTCTATAACATAATATAAGAAACTTCTAAATTTTAGAAATTGGTGAAAATAAATAGAGTGATGCAAAAGTAGGTTTACAGTTGTGAGTATATGAAACACAGTTTACTCTTGTGTTATTTATTAATTATTGTATTATTTTCCACACAATGGTATTATTTTCCAAACAATGGTAAAACTAGATATTCCCCCATCCAAGTTCCCAGATTTCCCAGATTTAGAATCCCTGTTCCACAGACAAAGATCTGAAAGTATACACACCTTATTGAAGTGGGTGGAATAGTCTGGGGCAGGAGAGAAAAGCAAAAAGAAGAATTTTTGACATTTTCATATCCTATATTATTTGATTTTTTTACAGAAAGATTGCATTTATGTATTACTTGTATAAAAAGCATAATATCCAGGTTTCAGATAAAAAAAACTTCTGTGGCTTAAGGAGGAAGAGGGCCGTCAGATGCCAGAGCCTTCAGCCTCCTCCCCCTCTGCCTCACTTCCAGGTGGAATGCCATTTTCTCATTACCTCCCCTTTAGCACTTGGATAAACCTTCAGTCCCTCATGCACAGGAACCCACTGGTTGTAAGACAGATAGAACCAATCTGTAGTTAAAGGACAAGATTAGGTGTATTTCTGGCAACTTATATTTATATTGATAATATAATTCAGTTTTATAGTGGAACACTTATCCACCCTTTGTAACATTGTTTAATGAGAAAATGCTTTCTAGATTCCAAACATCTGATGGTTTACAAAGAATGCATGAATACATGTATGCATAAGCAGAAGGCTCCCGGCATCTTTTAAATGTCCAGAGTGTTGGTCAGCAAACTCGGTAATACACTGACTCCTGAGCTTGGAGGTAGTACAAACCAATAAGGGGTAAAAGATCCCTTTTGTGAAAAAGGAACAATCCCTACCTTTTAACAGACGGCTCTTTGCTTTCATTAGGAATAAAGATGGCTGTTGAAGCAGTAGAAAACAATTACATCAATTTTGTGAAAATGCAATTTATTGACAACACACTTTATTTTATAGGTAAGTATAAAGCAATAGGCCAAACACAAGTTTCAGATTAATGTATTCAACTATAATAGAAAAGGCATTGTGAGATGAACTATTAAGTGACTCTTTATTGTTATCAAATTCCATTGTAATGCTTATAATATTCTTCTCTGGAAAAAGAAAAACTGGGCTTCTGGAAGTTAACCATAATATATTCATGGTCCCAACATTTGTCCACTACATGACCTGGCACTTCAGTTAGCAGTAACCCACTTATTTACAAGGTGAAAGCTAGTGCACATCATGATAATTCCACAGTACTGGGTACATTCAAGGAATATAATTTCCCTAAGTAAACTGGCAAATTATATGAGATACATTAAATCTGTGAGTGAGCTGTACCATATAATATAAATATATCTGGCAAATAAAAAAAAAGATTCTTATGATTGGTCTTCCATGGGCCATTTGGCTTCATTTGAAAGCTTCATAGAAAGTCCTTCCACTGATCAAGAGTAAAATCTGTCACTTCATAAAATTTCTTTTTTGTTACAAATTTATATTTATAAGCCCTGGATTTAGGTTCTATATCTAACTTACCAGAGAACACGCTAAGTCTATCCAATGAGCTTTGTTTTATGGGACCTTGTGGATGATTATATAATATTGGAGGCATGGTGCATGGATTTGTATACTGGTGAGATCCTTTGGCCTATCCTGTGGGGATCAGGCCAAAACCGGCTCTCTGACATCCCCTGAGGAGTCTCAGATTGTACAATAAGAGGGTGCAGACCCAGTGGAGAGACTCCATTGGCATGAATCCATGCACAGGGCCTCTAGTATGCATATAAGATTTCTGGTTAATCTCTTCCTGCCCTTCCCCTACCCCTTTCCCTCCGAGATTCATCAGTCTGTTCCATATTTCCATGCCTGTGGTTTCTGCTCCTGTGTTGAGTATCTGCCCCCTGTTGGTCAGTGTGCATCAAAGCTACCAGTTAGGCATTTATATATATAGATTTCTGATAGAGCCAACAACAACAGAAAGAGAGCAGTTAAATAATGGGGAGTGGCAGAAAAGAGTAACAAAAGGTAGGGTGAGGGGAGATTCTGAGTTGAAATATAGAATTTAACATTTCATTTCTCTTTTTTCCCCTTTAGGTGAAAATGATGGTAAAGTATAAATTTATTTCTCTTTCTTTACTAAAGTAAAAATAGCTACTTAAGCATCACACAGACACATCCATATCACCATTCTTAGCTGAAAGAAACTAGTACCAATCTATTTGAGAAGCTAATCTTCCCTCAAAGCAATGTGAACCCAGTAGCACAGAGCTGTAATAAAGTTGTCCATTAAGGATACAAAAGAGAACCTCTAACAAAATTGCTTTTTTACACTTTAGGCAATTCTCCAACTCTTTGATCTACAAAACAGACTTTGCCTAATACACAGATTGTGAGATTAGGAGGAAGTCATGGATTCTCTAGAGGACATGGGGAAAGGAGATTTGAATCGTGAAAATTGTAGTGTGAAATCAAGAACATCTTTCTTCTTCAACCCTCTCTCTCAGAAATGCTTTTGGAAGAAGCCTAGGATGCTCCCAAGGAAAAAATATTTTCAAAGTAGAGGAGATGGGGAAGGTGGGAGCAATCGAGTCTTTGCAAGAAGTAGATGTACCCAGCCCTTGTCCTTCTGACATTCAGAGAGGATCATACCCATATCTGGCCTGTGATCCTCTAACAGATGTCCAGATTGTTAAAGGTCATTAGTTTCTCATAGTTTTCTTTAAAAATAGCACTTTCCACATTTTTAAGGTGATCATTACTGGACTATAAATGAAAAAAGTAACTTAAAAATACTATTCCTTCATGGTTGTTTTATTTGTTTGTTTGTTTGTTTTCTAGCTTCCTTGAGATATAATGGCATGTAACTCCTCATGTTTTTTAGAGATTGCCCTACTCTCCATTTATTAATTCAATATATATGGGGATAAAAGTAGGTTTACAGTTGTTTGTATGGAAAACAATACAATTATTAATACATAATAATACAAAAATAAACTCTGTTTTGATTACTCTCAATTGTAAATCTGTTTTTGCCACCCTGTGTTAGCATCTGTATCTCAGACACTGTTAGGCACTAGGATACAGTGATAAGCAAATCACGGATCCTATAGGGAGAAGCAGTCACTTAAGAAAGGCAATTGGAACATGGTATGTTAAAGAACAGAATGCTGTGGGAACATATAGAAAGGGCACCTATTTCAGCCCAGTATATCTGGGAGGACACTTTGAAGGAGGGACATTTTTGAAGAGGGAATAGAAGTTAGCTAAGAGAAAGTATTAGAAGTTATCTAAGAGTACTTCAAGCTAAGAAATCAAGAGTACTTCAAAATAGGAGTAGGAGAATGATGAGAGAATGATAAATAGGATGTAGATCAAGAAGGTTCTTGTATTTCAAGGTATGGAATTTGGGCCTTATCTTTGGGTAATGGGGATTCATTAAGCAACATATTCATGATCTAGAATGGAGATTGGTTTGCTGGAACAAAGAGATCCAAAAATATAGTGACAGAATAAGACAGGAAATATTTCTCTCAAAAACAAGTCCAAGTAGGCAGTTCAAGATTATTGTAGTTGGATGCAGCCTGATGTTATTGGGATCTTAAGATTTTTCTGTCTTGTTATTCCATTATACTTTAGTTGTTTAATTCATTCACATACTTGAAAATCATCACCACACTTCCTGGGTCCATATCCCAGCTAGCAAGAAAGGGTTCAAAATAAGAGGAAGATAGTCTATTCCTTTTATTTTTTTTTAAATATATTTTATTGATTTTGTACAGAGAGGAAGGGAGAGAGATAGAGAGCTAGAAACATCGATGAGAGAGAGTCTTCGATCAGCTGCCTCTTGCACACCCCGTACTGGGGATATGCCCGCAACCAAGGTACATGCCCTTGACCGGAATCGAACCTGGGTCCCTTTGGTCCCCAAGCTGACGCTCTATCCATTGAGCCAAACCGGTCTTGGCAGCCTATTCCTTTTAAAGGTTCTAGATGGAAGTCATACACATCAATTCTATTCATATTCCATTGACTTTATTTTGGGTGGTCATGTGCCTCATTAAAATTCAGAGATAATTTTAACTAAAATTAAAAAGTCCTTCTAGCTTCAGTATAAAGAGCTAGAGGCCTGGTGCATGAATTTGTGCACAGATGGTATCCGGCTGGCCTGAGCAGATGTGGGACCATCAGACCAGGTGGGTAGGGGGATGGGGCCGTGGGTGGTTGGCCAGCCCCACCCTGGATTGGAGTATTGGAGGCCAATCGGGGGCCAAGTCAGCGGGAGTGGGGGTCTGATTTGGGCTCAGATCAGGCTGTCATAATGCACATCATAGCCACCAGTCATTCCAGTTGTTCTGGTATTCCACTGTTCCAGTCGCTGGGCTTTTATAGAGATTGGTGTGGAGATAAAAAAGGGGGGATGACAATTAAGAAGCTATTTGTCCTTGTAAGAAATGATGAAGACATTAATTAGGTATGGATAATGGGGTGCCGATGAAAAGCAATGAATGGATTTGATAAATACTTGGAAGAAGCCAAGTATTTTGTGATTGGACTAGAAAAGGGATAGAGAGAAAGATAGTGCCTATATTTTCTCTCTTAGTCAATTTGTACAATTAGTGAAATAGAAAGCACAAGGAGAAAAGCAGGGTAAAGTGGTATGCAGAGCAAAAAGGAAGATAAATGATGAATTTAGTTTTGTATCTTGTCTGTGGGAAATCCTAGTGGAAATGTACAGTAGATTCTTTGACATAATGGTTCTGGGCTCAGGATGAAAATTTGGGCTGGAGATACAGCTATAGGGGGCTTATGCATAGAAATGACAGCTGAAACTATAGGAATAAAAAGACAGATTATAGGAAATGTGTGGAGTGAGAAAGTAAAAGCCAAGGACTAAATCAGGGGAATGTCTATGTTGAGGATGCAGTAGAAAGAGAAGCTAATATGGCCAGGCCCGGAGCAGCGGCTGCCAGGCTGGGAGAGGCCAGGCCCAGAGCAGCGGCTGCCAGGCTGGGAGTGACCAGGCCCGGAGCGGCCAGGCCTGGAGCAGCCGAGCCCAGAGCAGCCGGATTGGGTGCGGCCAGGACCCGGAGCAGCAGCAGCCAAGTCCAGAGCAACTAGGTTGGGAGCGGCAGTGACCAGACCCGGAGCAGCTGGTTGTGGAACAAACCAGAGCAACAGAGGCCAGGCCCGGAACAGCTCGCTCCTCGCCTGCCCCTGCCCCATGGCTGCCTCTCAGACATGACTGGAAACTTTTGCGGGAACTTGAGGGTCTGCTGAATCAAGTGATGAAGGCTTAGATCTGGATGTGTTGAGTTAGTATAGCGCTGGGGTGTTGATCTGTGAGTGCCTTGGGTGGGGCCTGGATGAGGCTGGTTGACCTATTTGGAAATGTCTTTTGTGTGAAGTGTATCATTGGGCATGTGGAGGTATTATTGATATGAGAAAATGCTAAGTAACTGATTTACTATCTGAAAAGGGATTTACTATCTGGGAAAGGGAGGGAGGAAGAGACTGAACATAAACTGTGCACCTATGGATGAGGACAATGGGGGATGGGGAGGGGGCGGAGGGTGGAGTGGGAACCTGGTAGAGGGGGGAAGAAATGAGGAACCTTTGTAATAATATGAACAATAAAGATTGATTTTAAATATATATATATATATATATATATATATATATATATATATATTTTTTTTTTTTTTTTTTTTTTTTAAGAAGAAAGAAAGAGAAGCTAATAAATAAAAGAGTAACCAAAGAAGATAGGGGGAAAAAGAAATAAGAGAAGGCCATAGAATCCCAGGAGAGATTTTCAAGATGGAGATAATAGTCATTATGTTGAATTTTACAGCCTTGAAAACAAAGTGTAGGAAAACATTAATTGCATTTAGCAACAGGGAGTTTAGCTTGCTGAAAGAAGTTTGGTGGAGAAATGGAGGCAGAGAGAGATTGCAATGAGTAGAAGAGTGAATGGAAAGTAAGGGAATGACATAGTTCTTACCAGAAGCTCCACTATTAAAAGAAGAAACAAGACTAGCTACAGAATAGGATATGATTGGTGGAGGAGTTTTAAATCTCAAAATGAAAACAGTTTTCTGTTTTTCTGATTATAAAAATAATGTGTTTATTATAAATAATTCAGGCAACTAAAAAAGAAAAACATGAAAAAGACCTAGAAATAATAATCAATATCATTTGATGTATTATTTTTGTACCTCTTTTAATATATGTTTGTAAAAGTAGGTTTATAGTTGTGAGCACATGCAACACATCTTATTCTTGTATTATTGTGTATTCTTGTATTATTTGTATTACTGTAAACTGTAAACCTACTTTTGCCCGTGTGTGTGTGTTTGTAATACTATTCCTAAGTTTCTTTTTCTAATTTAATACACGTGGAAATCCTTCCATGGCAAAGAATAATTATAGTTATATTAGATTCATGACATTCCATAGTAAGGAAATATCAAAATTTATTTGCTTAGGCCCCAATTGATGGACATTTAAATTGTTTCCAGTGCTCTCATAAGCATTATAGCAGAGAAATATTTACACGTTTTTCTGACTGTTTCTTTAGGGGGGAAAAAATCAAGGAAATAGAATTGCTGGGTTGACAGAGAAGAGGGGATGATTGGTAAATCAAGGTTTCAGAAGATGTATGGGAGTGGGGGGGAACAATGGTAAAATATGTACACATATAATACCTTAAAAAAATGGGGGGAAAGGTTTCAGAAGAATATACATAAGAGCACAAGTAGGGTTAGCCTTAGATTTCTTAAAAGGCATCTTTTTTACATTTTCCTTGGGACAAGAGGGATAAGGAAATGACTGGTGGTGCCAGTTAAATTTGTAAGTGAAGTAGCAGGAAATCATTTATTGAAAGTGAAAGCAGAGCCCTGACTGGCTTGGCTCAGTGGATAGAACATTGGCCTGCGGACTGAAGGGTCTCAGGTTCGATTCTGGTCAAGGGCATGTACCTAGGTTGCAGGGTACATTCCCAATGGGGAGTGTGCAGGAGGCAGCTGATCGATGTTTCTCTCTCATTGATGTTTTTAGCTCTCTATCCCTCTCCCTTCATCTCCATAAAAAATTAATAAAAAATATATATACATATATATATATATATATATATATATATATATATATATATATTTTTTTTTTTTTTTAAGAAGAAGAAAGAAAGTGAAAGCAGAGATGATGATGTAGAGATCCTGAGGAGGCTAAGGAAGATCTGAAATGATAGCTATGGGTTATGAAAACAGGTGCTGAAATGTTTTAATAAAAAAAAAAAAGTACTGACAATTTATATATGCTTGCAATGGCACCAGTTTGTGTATTTATATAACTACCAGTGACACTCAGCATCCAGGTTTGGAGTTTTGTAGTAGAAAGTTAAATAAACAAACGAGTCTGGATTTGGAAAGGCTGGCAAAGGGTAGACAAAATGATGAACCCTAAGGTCCAAACTGCATAGAAAATAAAAGGAAGACAGGAAGGTTAGAGAGGAATGAAATGCCTATTTTAAAATCAGGAAGACTCAGTGAAGTGGAGGAAAAGTATAAAACAAATAGGATAGGAGATTGTGATTAGAAAGCAGAGTGTTTGAATTTAACGTTTCAGAGGTAGAGTAGTTCTGGGTGATACTAAGAAGCAAGAGTTGTCTTTGGAAGTAGATAAAAAACATTGTGCAACTTTATCTTTGCTGCTTCTGTAGCAGAATATTGTGATCAGTAGCTACTGAAAATTGAAATATATAGTATGCCTGTAAATTTTGGGGGAAAAAACACACGTATTTTTAATGAGATTTAATGTCCATTCTAGAAAACCTGGAATCAGACTACTTTGGCAAGATTGAACGTCGATGGTCAATCATACGAAATCTGAACAACCAAGTTCTCTTCGTTGACCAGAGAAGACAAGCCATTTTTGAGGATATGACTGATTCTGAGTGTAGAGGTACTTTTAAAATATATTTACAGACATAAAGATGCAAGTACTTCTTATTCCACTTTACTGCCTACATTTTTCTATTATAGACTTAGACTTTAAATGAAAAGATATAGCAATAGTAATAATTTCACTTACAAGAAACTTTATAGAGTATCCAAATATTGTAGTTGAGCTGAAAAATTGATATAATAAAGATATTGCCAGGTTTGGGAGGCGGGAGGATGAAGAGGGTAAATGGGATCAAATACGTGGTGATGGAAAACTAGGTTTCAGGTTGTGTGTATACAGATATTGTATTCTAAAATTGTACAACTGAAATTTATATAATGTTATTATCCAATGTTACCCCAATAAATTTACTTTAAAAAATTTTAAGACATATTTATGGGTCATGTTACTCTGGGCCTACATTTGGATCACGAGTTCCTTCATTGTTAATTGCATGAACTTGATAATATTTCTATAGAATTGGATCCTTCATACTGGCTGAAACTGCTGATAGCATTTTCAAAACTCAAAATTAAAAATAAGCCTCAAGCATTTCAAATAAGTCTGTCTCCCATCAGAAATTTAGAGTGCTTAGGAAATGAATAAGTTTACAGTGCTTTCCAAGGTATAAATTCCAAATATCACCGTTTAGGCAGAGTTGAAAGAGTGAATGTGCACCCTTGAAAAATCCTGAATTTTAACCTTAACAGCCAGATTTTTAATATTGTATTTAGCATTTAAAAGTTAAACACAGTCCTACTGGCGTGGCTCAGTGGTTGAGGGTTGACCTGTGAACCAGGAAGTCTTGCTTCGATTCTGGTCATGGCATATGCTCAGATTGTGGGTTTGACCTCCAGTAGGGGGAGCTATGCAGGAGGCAGCTGAACAATAAATCCCTTCAGCATTGATGTTTCTATCTCTCTCTCTCCCTTCTTCTCTAAAATCAATAAAAATACATTTCTTGAAAAGTAAAAGTTTAAAACAATTTTTTAGAGTTCAGAATATCTCTTAAACACTCAAAATGTTACTGCTTTTGTGATGCATATTTGAATGAGTTTTAAAGAATGTCTGAGCAACTGCATATTGCCTCCACCAACTGGCTGGATCACAGTGTGTGGGATGGGTAATGGGTCTATTAAGGATTATCCTTTGGCTAATGTCCATAAATTTTGATTTGCAAAAATTATTCTAACTTGTGTTCTCATTTGTTATTTCAGAGAATCCAACTAAAATTGTAATACATATATATAAAGATAGCCACCCTAGAGGTTTGGCAGTAGCCCTCTCTGTGAAGAGTAAAGAAAATTTTACTATCTCCTGTAAGGACAAAATTATTTCCTTCAAGGTAAGACTGAACCTAAAGTTGTTACATATAACAAGTTGATATATGTTATTTTTAATGTACAGCTAAGTGAATAAAATTAACAAGATTAGCTATGAAAGCAATGGTATAATGTATCTCAAAGCCAAGTATAAATTATTTCTGGCCACTGCTTTTTTTCTCTATTCTCCATTTTTTTCTCTTGAAGAGTTTTTGATTGAGGGTTTGCCAGTAAAATACTTGAGCAATGGGAACTGAAGTTAGAATATGACCTAGTGGCCGAAATCGGTTTGGCTCAGCGGTGGAGCGTCGGTCTGCGGACTGAAAGGTCCCAGGTTCGATTCCGGTCAAGGGCATGAACATTGGTCGCGGGCACATCCCCAGTGGGGGGTGTGCAAGAGGCAGCTGGTTGATGTTTCTCTCTCATTGATGTTTCTAGCTCTCTATCCCTCTCCCTTCCTCTCTGTAAGAAAAATCAATAAAATATTTTTAAAAAAAAGAATATGACCTAGTGGACATGTTGAGAGACAACTTGGAAGGAAGAAAAAGGCCACTCTAAAATATAATCCAAGTAAAATCAGTGTGTATGCCACAAATACAACCTCCAAACAAATCCCTTAACCATCCCCTTCCAACCAGAGGGCCACCCTTTTGGATGGCAACTTAAGAGTTCCCATTCTCAGGCTTGACAAGCAGGAAGCTTAGTTATCATAATGGTTTTAGAGGCCTGGGGTAGACAGGGAAGGTGCAAAGGATTAAGCATGTTGTTATTAGCAACAAAATCAGAAGGGAGGTGGCCAAGACCAAGCCATGTGGGATAAAGAAAAACTAATTCAGCAGAAACCGGTTTGGCTCAGCGTTAAAGCGTCGGTCTGTGGACTGCAAGGTCCCAGGTTCAATTCCGGTCAAGGACATGTACGTTGGTTGCCAGTCGATGTTTCTCTCTCATCGACGTTTCTAGCTCTCTATCTCTCTCCCTTCCTCTCTGTAAAAAATCAATAAAATATATTTTACCAAAAAAAAAAAGAAAAACTAATTCAGCTGCAGAAGCAGATTCAGAAACTGGGATAAGCCTGAACTCTAAATGGATTATGGAGAGACTGGGAAGTGTTGAAAAGGATGGAAATAATGCTTGGCAAAAGAAAGAAGAGAGGGGAGGGGAGGGGAGGAGAGGGGAGGGGAGGGGAGGGGAGGATAGGATGCTTGGTATACAGTAGGAATTGGAGCAAATCAGATTTAGGTGAACTTGAAGCTTATACAATTTGGGCAGGCCTTTTAAAGAAAGAGAATATAAAATTACCAAAAGCATCAAATTTTATTTAGAGTAAGAAAAGTAGTGGCCTTAGAAGAGATCTGAGGGCCTCTGACATTTAAGCTTCATTAGCTTCATAGCAAATCTGCTTCTGAAGGAACTCAGTAAGTATTAGTTAGAGGAAAGGAGGCAGAGAGGGTGAGAGGAAGGAGGAAGGAAGGGAGGGAGGGAGAGAAGGCAGAGGGAACGAGGGGGCTAGTTTTAGCTCATGCTCTTTAACCCTTTTACCCCCACTAATAAGGATCTTAGCAGTGATTATAAATATAGACTACGTTCTACTAGATGATAAGGCACAACTTGCTGCCATTATGTGCTCATCTTTCTATGTTGGTTACTAACTATAAAGTCCTAGTGCTCATATAATAGATACCTACTGCCTTTGGGTAAGAACCTTATGACACCAAGAGGGATTTGTTCAAAAAGTGACTTTTAGTGCCTGTTTCTTGTATAGACATAGTCAGGATTCTCTCAAATGTGCTAATGCACTTGGGAAAAGGCGCACACACACACACACACACACACACACACACACACACACAAAGCCAAAACCGGTTTGGCTCAGTGGTAGAGCGTCGGTCTGCGGACTGAAGGGTCCCGGGTTCAATTCCGGTCAGGGGCATGTATGTTGGTTGTGGGCACATCCCTGTTGGGGGGTGTGCAGGAGGTGGCTGGTCGATGTTTCTCTCTCATTGACGTTTCTGGCTTTCTCTCTCCCTTCCTCTCTGTAAAAAATCAATAAAATATATTTAAAAAAAAAAAAAAAAAAAAAAACAGATGTTAGGTCAGGCTTCACTTTCTCTGTATTCAAATTCAACCCCTCCTGATGTAAACAATCCCATGGGTCCTTGGAGCACTCAAGTTTCATTATGTAGCGCTGTTTCCATATCCACTTACTGTGTACCTTTCCTATGATGGCTATGAATAATCAACACCAAAACCAAGGACAGCTACTGCCCCAGGATTTCCTTGCCCCTGTTCTGAAATGTCACATTGAACTATGATTAGAGATGGCCTGTTCTACCTATCCATACCCCCACTTTCAACCACAACTTTCCATGCCAGGTTTGAACTAACAAGTTCATCTCCTTCTAATATTTCTAGAGCTTCTGAAGTTTTGGCTAAGGATTATTTCTCACTTATACATTAGAGTAGCTTAGTCCCAAATTCAAACCCCAGTTTTAAGGTCTCTTCCTAAATTCTGGGGTAACTGTAGTCAGCTACAGAAATACATGTCAGTGGGAGAACTGGTCTATACTGTTATCAATTTAGGACCACCTCTTATTGATAAAGGACAAAGTTAAGAGTTGTAACTATAAATTCTATAATTGGTTGAAAAGTTGGGAGGTACCAAACTTCTTTTGGACATCTTAGGAAGATGCTGGAAAGTTATTTTGGATCTGGAACTTTTTCTGGCAGTCCTTAGTTAGGATCATGAGAATTTTTGCTGCCATGGGGTTAAAATTAAGTTCAAATATCAACAGTTTTAGGATTAACACAGAAAGAACTTTGGGTGGTCCTCAAATTTCTACCGTGTTTCCCCGAAATTAAGACATCCCCTGAAAATAGGACCTAGCGCAACTTTGGGAGAAAAATTTAATATAAGACACTGTCTTATTTTGGGGAAACAGGGTAGTTCATCTTGAAAAGTAAGTATGGTCAACAAACCAGATCTAGCTGGTTTGGCTCAGTGGGTAGAACATTGGCCTGCTGACTGAAGGATTCCAGGTTTGATTCTGGTTCAAGGTCAAGGGCACATGTCCAGGTTTTGGGCTCAATCCCCAGTAGGGGTGTGCAGGAAGCAGCCAATCAATGATTCTCTTTCATCATTTATATTTCTATCTCTCCCTCTCTCTTCCTCTCTGAAATCAATAAAGATATATTTAAAAAAATTAAAAGTAAATAAAATAAACCAATTGCGGGGACCTGAGTTGGTGGAGATCTCCCTTCTCCGCATCCAGCGCCGGAAGAGAGATGAAATAGGTTCTTGGAAGACCAGGGATTGAGAAATATATGAAATAAAGAGAGCCAAACACAGAAATATTGTAGATTCAAAGCTGGGTCCCGGGTGGGTCGCTGCCCTTTTTGCTGAAGAGACAGATGATGACCTGAGCCACACAGCACATTTATTTATTTCCAGAAGAATAAAGGAGGGTTTCCTAAAAAGCTTAGGATCAGAGGAGTTTGGGTGTGCCCAGGTCCTATTCATTCCCTCACTCCAGGTATTAGGACTGGATTTAACACATCAAGGCCTGGGTGGGCCAAGGTCCTATTCAATCCCTCATTTCCAGCACGTGGATAAAGATAAGAAGTCAGTACTGATGAGTCTCCCGACATTTGGGGGGCCTTTTCCAGGAAACGGTCATGCCAGTCGCCTCAGACTCAGCTGACATCAATTTAAAGAATATCTATGTGCATTCCCAGGGGCTCTCTACAACCAACAAAAAATATTAAAAAAAAAAAAAAGTAGGTATGTTGTAATATTTTTTAAAAGTATAGGCAGCCTGCCGAGACCGGTTTGGCTCAATAGATAGAGCGTCGGCTTGGGGACTGAAGGGTCCCGGGTTCGATTCCGGTCAAGGGCATGTACCTTGGTTGCGGGCATATCCCCGGTGGGGGGTGTGCAAGAGGCAGCTAATTGATGACTCTCTCTCATCGATGTTTCTAACTCTCTGTCTCTCTCCCTTCCTCTCTGTACAAAATCAATAAAATATATTAAAAAAAAAAAAAAGTATAGGCAGCCTGTCAGTTAGGTAATTGGCAGGATTATAGTTTTAAATGATCTAGCCATTCTTGAGAAAACCCTGTTCTGTGTCTGAAAGATATAGGAATCAGAATTTGGCCTTCCAGGGCAGAAGCCATCCAATAGACTACTTTCAGAATAGAAATTCAGGACTACTATGGAACTGGAATAGTTAGTAGGAAAAAGTCAAAGGCTGCTGATTAAGCCAATATGGTAAGGCTAAACAGAAATCAAGGACTCAACCCTAGAACAGCTGAAGAGGGTCTATTAACAGCAAGTTTTAGGTCTAGCCCCCATGAAGGGAGGGAGTGGAGATGACTGCCACTTCTGACTCTCACAGTTGGTTCACCAACTTGAGCTAGGCTAGGCTATGGCTGGAGGTCATCAATGTATTTAGCTCTGAATGGTTGGAAATGACATTAGCCCAAAAAAGGTTGTGGCCTTTGCTAGAATTCGACTCCATTTTGAGCAATGGGAGAAAGAGAAGAAAGCTATATGATTAATAAATTGGGAAAAACTAGAGAGCTAGATCTGAATGTGCATACCATGGTAAGATCAGCCAAAGCAGACAAGGAGAATAGGAGATTAGGAATTCAGAGGAAAAGGAGATCCGTATTTCTATATGCTGAGATATGTTGTTAAACTTAACTTGTGAAAATAAAAACTTTAGTTCTGTGCAATAATACACTTCAAAATAAACTGCACATATTCTGATTGTTCATGCTCTAAAAAAATTAATATTTTTTTCTCTATAGGAAATGAGTCCTCCTGATAATATCAATAATGAAGAAAATGAGATAATATTCTTTATGAGAAGTGTTCCAGGACATGACAATAAGATGCAGTTTGAGTCTTCATTGTATAGAGGATATTTTCTAGCTTGTAAAAAGGAGAATGAACTTTTTAAACTCACTTTGAAAGAAAGGGACATACATGGGGATGAATCTGTAATGTTCATTGTTGAATACGGCAAATATTAAAAACTAGGTATTAAAATTTCATAGTTTGAACTTTCTAATTTTTTGTCTTTTAGAAAAGTTAAGATTGAGTCTATAATTGTAATAATGAAATAAGATGAATAATGATCTCAAAGGATACCACTAAGAAATGAATAGTAAGCTTTCACAAAATTGAATTGACCCCTTTTATGCAGATGAATAAAGCATTTGTATAATGTAAAAAGATGCATAGCTTGAAAACATAGTCTCCATGTTGACTTTGGAACATAGATTATACTCAATAAAAATGTTTTAAATCCTTTGGGTTATGATGAGAGATACTGATATTTGAATTTTCTAATTATTAAGAATATCATTAAAACCCTCAAAATTTTATAAAGAGACCACTTCAGCTGACTAATTTCTCATTTCCTCCAAAGTCAAAATACTTTTAAAAGTCAGATTTGTTGTGGGGTTGAACTTTGGGTTCAAAATAAGACAACCGGAGGCTGATGATTGATTAAAAAAAAAAAAAAGCAGGCAAGGATTTCTTGAAAAACTGGCCAGGATGGCCATGAGAGCACCACATGCAGGTAGAATCCACATGACCACATTGTTCCAGGTGTAGGCAAGTCTTTTTAAAGGTTCAAACCACAGGAACAATTTTCCTTTGTTCTAAATTCTAAAGGCTGGGAACATTGGAATGTGGCCTTATCTTGCTTAAACAGAATGATTATACAGAAGCAGAACTCAAAGGTTAATCTCTAAAGGTTATCTATAGTTTCTACCCCTGAAGCTACTGAATCAGTGAGAATCAATCTCCTGTAACTACGCTATTGTTTAAGCAAGTAAGGAATGCCGAAGCCAGAATGGCAGGGTTAAAATTCAAACAGCAGTTTTTACCCAAGTATGGTTGCTACCATATTTCAAGATTGATCCTGCAACATAGAAATGGGATTATACACACTGAGCAAGTGGCAGTCAACGTGGGAATGCAAGTGCTTTAATATTCCTAAATAAATTAATGTAATATATCATATTAATAAAGGGTAAAACCACAGAATCATCTCAATAGATACAGGAAAGCATTTGACAAAAGCCAATCCTATCTAATAAAAGAGTAATAAGCAAATTGACCATCAGTCCAACACACAAGATGGCTGCCCCATGTGGTCAAAGATGGCTGCCCCTATGTGGACACAAGATGGCTACCACAATATGGCCAGCAGGGGAGGGCAATTGGGAGGGATCAGGTCTGCAAGGGAGGGCAGTTGTGGGAGATTAGGCCAGCAGGGGAGGGAAGTTGGGGACGATTGGGCCTGCAGGAAAGGGCAGTTAGCGGGGGGACCCAGGCCTTCAGGGGAGAGCAGTTGGAGGGGACCAGGCCTGCAGGAGAGGGCAATTAGGGGTGACCAGACCTGCAGGGGAGGGCAGTTAGGGGCAAACAGGCTGGCAGAGGAGCAGTTAGGCAACAATCAGGCTGGCAGGTGAGGGGTTAGTGGGTAATCAGACTGGCAGGCAGAAGCAGTTAGGGGCAATTAGGAAGGCAGGCAGGCGAGCAGTAGGGAGCCAGTAGTCCTGGATTGTGAGAGGGACGTCCAACTGCCTATTTAGGCCCAATCCTAGGATCGAGCAGTTGGACATCCCTCAAGGGATCCCAGATTGGAGATGGTGCAGGCTGGGCTAACGGACACATACTCCCCTCCTCCATGCATGAATTTTATGCGCCGGGTCTCTAGTTCATAATAAAAATTGTCAACAAACTTGAAAGAGAAGAAAACTTTCTCAATGTGATAAAGGGCATCTATAAAAACCCTACCACTAACATCATACTTAATGGCGGAAAAATAATGCAAGAATGTCAGCTCTTCTACTCAGTGTACTGGAGGTTCTAGTCAATACAATCACAAGAAAAAGAAAAGGCATCTAGATTAGAAAAGAAGAAGTAAAATGGTCTTTATTTGAAGACAAGATGATTCTGTATGTACAAGATCAGAATACATATGTGTGCATGCAGACAAATCCCTATTAAAATTAAACAAGGTCAGCAGGGTTGCAGAATACAAGATTAATATATATGGAAATAAATTGTATTTTTATATATGAGCATGAACAACCTGAAAATATAAGACAATTCCATTCACAATAGTGCTAAAAAAATATATACAAAAATAAATTTAGCAAGAGAAGTGCAAGATTTGTACAATAAAGTTTTTAAAACATTTCTGAGGGAAATTAAATATGATCTAAATAAATAAATAAAAAGACACCACATTCACTGATTGGAAGACTCAGTATGGTTAAGATGACAGTTCTCCTCAAATTGATCTATAGATTCTGCTTAATCTCCATCAAATTCCAGCAGGATTTTTTGCAGAAATAATTGACAAGCTGTACCTAAATGTACATGAAAATTAAAAAGACAGAATAAAAAGACAGAATAACCAAAAAAAAATTTAAAGAACAAAGTTGGTAAACTTTTCTTTCCTAATCTTAAAACTTAATATAAGTAATAAGAACTGTTTGGTACTCACATAAGAGTAAACATAGATCAATGAGACAGATTTGAAAGTTTAGTAATAAGTCCTTATATTTATGGCCAGCTGATTTTTTATAAGGACAACTTGATGGAAAGGAGAGCTTTTAACAAATGGTTTTGGGTCAACTGGATATCTATTCAATATATTCCAAAAGAATGTACATAGGCCCTTATCTCACACTATACAAAAATTAATTTAAAATGGATCAGTGACATTAATGTAAGCTAAAGCTATAAAACTTTCGAATAAGACAGGAGAAATTGTTAAGACCTTGGATTAGGCAAAGATTTTTCAGACCAAAAATTGATAAATTGGCCTTAATAAAAATTCAAAAATTGGGAGTGCAGTTGGGTTAAGTGTACAGAATACCTCTCTATACTATCTTTGCCACATGCTGTGAATCTTTAATTATTTTGAAATTAAAATTTTCTTAGAAACAACTGCACTCAAAAGGAATCATTAAGAAACTGAAAAGACAGCCTAACGGGTTTGGCTTGCAGTGTTTCCCAAAGTGTGGTACATGTACCCCCAGGGGTACAGGAAGAGTTTGGTGGGGGTACCCGTTGCACCGGAGTTTGGTGGGGATATGCACTGCACTGTGCTTAGCTGCGCCTAATTCTACGTTTTCATGAGTACGAGGGATACTCAGGGTTAGAAAAATTATAGGAGGGGTACACATATGTCAAAAGTTTGGAAAACACTGGGCCTTAGTGTTGGCCTGCGGACTCAAGGGTCCCAGGTTCAATTCTGGTCAAGGGCATGAACCTTGGTTGTGGGCACATCCCCAGTAGGAGGGTGTGCAGGAGGCAGCTGATCAATGTTTCTCTTGCATCAATGTTTCTAACTCTCTATTCCTTTCCATTCCTCTCTGTAAAAAAAAAATCAATAAAATATATTTTTTTCAAAAAAGAAACTGAAAAGACAAGCCACAGGCTGGAGGTTATATTTATCACATATATGGGGGGGGGGGGGGGGGGGGGGGGCGGGGGAATGTATCTAGAATCTACAAAGAATTCTCACAACTCAATAAGATGATCTAATTTTTGTTGTTGTTGTTGTTAATCCTCACCTTATGATTTCTTTCCATTGATTTTTAGAGAGAGTGGAAGGGAGGGGGAGAGATTGAGAGAAAAACATTGATGTAAGAGAAACACATCAGTTGGTTGTTTCCCACACATGCCCTGACCAAGGTCAGGAATTAAGCCTACAACTGAGGTACTTGCCCTTGACTGGAATCAAACTCAGGAACCTTCAGTCCACAGGCCGGCACTCTATCCACTGATCCAAACCAGCCAAGGCAAGAAGTTCCAATTTTTTAATGGGCAAAAGATATTAATAGATGTATCTCAAAATAATGTATAAGTGACTTATAAGCACATGAAAAGATGCTTAACATCGTTAGTCATTAGAGAAAAGCAAATTAAAACCACTGAGTTAACACTTCATAGGCACCAGGATGGTTATTATCAGAAAGACAGACAGACAATAACAAGTGGCAAAATTGTTAAGAAACAGGAATTCTCATACAATGCTGATGGAAATGTGAAAAAATACAGCCACTTTAGAAGAGCTTTTCTGTTTCTGAGAAGGTTAAATATAAATTTTTCATATGAACCAGCAATTCCATTCCTACATATTTATTCAAAAGTAATAAAATACATGTTCACACAAAGATTCACACAGTAATGTTTATATCAGCATTACTCCTAATAGTCAAAAAGTGGAGCGAGCCCAAATACCAACCAGCTGGTGAAGGGATAAACAAAATGTGGTATATCCATAAATACCAACAAAAAAAGGGTAAAATGCAGATACAGACTACAACGTGAATAAACTTTAAACAGATATTAAGTTAAAGAAACCAAAAACTAAACATTACATATTATATGATCCCATTTATATGAAACTAGAGGCCCAGTGCACGAAAATTCATGCACTTGGGAGGGTGGGGGGCCTCAACCCTCTCACAATCCAGAACCCCTCAGGTAAGGTCCCTAGGTCTGGCCTGAGATCAGGGCCTCTTGGGACTTTTCTTCCCCCAGCAGCTGACAACTGGCCCCGCCCCACTGCTGTCATTGTTTGCCATTTGTGCAGGGCTGACCACCCTCCCCTGCCACAGGCCGCCTCCCTCTGCAGGTGACAGGTGTGGGGTGCTGTCGCTTGGCTGGCCTGGACCTCCCTCTGCAAGGTGATGGCTGGCCAGCCCCGCACACCGGCCACAGAACCACAGGCCGGGTATCCTGGACGTCCGTCTTTCTTTTCCTTTCTTTCTTTCTTTCTTTCTTTCTTTCTTTCTTTCTTTCTTTTCAAGTAAAAGTAATGTTTACTGAGCAATACAGAACTGAGTATTATGTAGGGTTTACCAGGATGGAAATGCACCAAATCCCACCCCTGCCACTCCCAACACCCAGAGACTACAGTACTTAGAAGTTACATGCAATGGCCATAACTGCTGAATATATATTCATAACAAATAAACCATAGCATATTTATACTGTATCATATTGAGTGATTATAGCAATCCATTTATATATTGCTTGTATAAAATCTTTTTTGTAGCCAAAACCGGTTTGGCTCAGTGGATAGAGCGTTGGCTTGTGGACTCAAACGTCCCAGGTTTGATTCCAGTCAAGGGCATGTACCTTGGTTGCAGGCACATCCCCAGTCGGGGGAGTGCAGGAGGCAGGTGATTGATGATTCTCTCTCATCGATGTTTCTAACTCTCTATCCCTCTCTCTTCCTCTCCATAAAAAATCAATAAAAATATATATATTTTTTTTAA